AGCGGCTGCTGCGCGGCGGCGTCGTCGTCGTCCATATACACTAGGGATAGTGCGTCTTCTTCCTCTTCCGCAGCAGTCGACGCCGCGCGGAACGGGCTCGGGGCCACCTGCTCGGGGATGGTCAGGTACTTGGTATCCAGCGCGCCGGCGCCGAAGACCGCGCCGCCGCTGTTGAGCAGGCCGATGACCTTGCCGGCGACGGCGTACGGCACGTCGGGTATGTAGTTGAACTGGCTGACGAAGGGCGAGATGAGGAAGGTCGAGTCCTTGGTGAAGGGCCCGCGGAAGATGTCGAAGCGCACGGCGCCCGTGTTGAGGATGGCCAGGCGCGGCACGTCCTTGCGCTCGGCGTTGGTCAGGGTGGCCGGCAGCACTTGCGTCTCGAGCCAGCTGAAGATGCTGGACGGGTCCGGGTACGGCGCCCGGCTCATCCACAGGTCCTGCGGCGCGCAGCCGAAGGAGGAGTCGAGCTGCAGGGCTTTGCGGCCCGCGGCGATGGCGGCGCTGACGTTGCGGCCGTGCTCCGTGGGGAAGGTGGTCTCGTTGAGGCCGGTGTGGTAGCGCAGGCCAAATAAATTGTTGTCGATGTACTTCCTGCGAAACGTCACGGCGGCTTCGGCTTCGACCTGGCCACCGCCACCATTCTTCTTCTTGATGCCGTCGACGGACAGCCAGCCGATGGTCTCGAAGTAGCGGCCGCTGGCGAGGGCGAAGGCGTTGTCGTCGAACTTGCGGGCGTCGCGGACGTGGGCGTGGCCGCCGAGGAAGGCGATGGGGGTGTACCAGTTCTGGTCGCGGATGACCTTGAAGATCTGCTCGAACTCCTTCATGCGCAGGCCGACGTGGCCCGCGACCAGGAACAGGTCGGGCTTCTCCCGGATGGCGCTCTGGAACCAGTCCTCCTTCATGGCCTCCTCGACGGGCTGCACCACGCTGTTGTTGGCGTTGCGGTCGAAGTTGAAAATGAAGCCGAGTACCACGACGTTGTACCCTTGGTTCTTGGTCTTCAGCTTCAGGTACCGCTGGGCTTGGGGGATCTGGTTCCCGGTCTCGGGCTCGATGTAGTCGAGGTTGGAGGCGACGTAGGAGTGCTTGAAGTTGGGGACGGTGGTGTTGTGCTCGCGGTCGACGGTACTGGGTTGGTACAGCTCGTGGTTCCCGGTGCAGAGGGCGTCGATGGTCTGCTCGCGGTAGATGTCGTACGTGTATTTACCCTTGGGGTCTGAGGCATCGTATAGACCGTTGCCTTCTATTCTGTCACCGGTGTCGATGACTAGTAGATCCACCCCTTTCTCGTCGGCTTTTCGTCGCATGTGTTCGGTGAAGGAGATGTAGTCGCCATAGTCGGCCGAGTACTGCGGTCTAAGACACACGAACGTGTTAGCGATTATTGAATTATTATCATTACGTAGGTATTCTCTTACTCTTGCAAATGCCCGCCCAACCAGCCGTGTATGTCTGTGGTGTGTAGGAAGTTGATCTGTCCCCATTCCAAGTCTCTCATCGGAGCAGCGACCGGCGCAGGAGCTCCAGGCTGGGCTGCGCTGGCGACCGTAGCCAGGGACGCCGCGGCGAGGGTAATCCTTGGAATCATCTTGGATTTCTGTAGTGATTTAAACCATTCAAATCATGAATAAGTCACTGTCTTTCCATTGCTTTGGGAGCACCGAAAGACTGTAAAATACGTAGAAGAGTTGTAATGGATGTAAGAGGGAACTTTATAGGTAAGGTAATGGTAATGGTAATGGTAATGGTAATGGCTAGGACAGGGCCTCGATATTAAACTACAAGCTATGAGTTGTCAGTCCACAGGCTACAGCTTCCCACGGGTACCTGCCAAGCTTTACCCTGCGTCACAAGTCACACCGACGAAGCTGCAGGGATCCGTCGTCTTAGTCCGTCTCCACCCCTCTGCCGCTATGGGGTAATTTACTTATCGATAAGCCACATGCACCTAGCATTAGCAAAGATGCATTTTAACATTTTGACAGGTAAATGAACAACTTGGAAAATCACAAAAAAAAAACTCCTTATGTCTAGCACCACAGGGACCACATGTCTACCTATGTCAGGCATTCCCAGATCCGAGACGCCCGTAGGCTGATCTCTACGCAATGGAGGTCTGCTACCGCGCAGCACCGCTCCCTCCACCAAGCCACGCACTCTGCTAAAAGCGAAACCGCCCGTCTAGCTGTCAAAGACAGCATCGCCGCCACCGGCTTCACCACAACCTGCGCATCCAACATCCTCGCCGGCAACAAGATCCCCTTCGACGCCACCATCGTCCGCCAATTGAGGGAGCGGGGGGCCATCGTCACGGGGAAAGCCGGCATGGATGAGTTCGGCATGGGCACCCACTCCACCACCTCCGCCTTCGAGTCCGTCCACAACGTACTGGGCCTGGAGAAATACTCGGCGGGGGGAAGTTCTGGAGGCAGTGCCGTTGCGGTGAGAAAAGGAGAAGCGGATCTGGCGCTGGGAACCGACACGGGAGGGTCCGTTCGCATGCCCGCCGCCTACACCGGCACCGTGGGCTTCAAGCCGTCCTACGGCATGCTGTCCCGCTGGGGCGTCGTGCCCTATGCGAACTCGCTGGATACCGTCGGGCTGCTCGCTAGGACTGTCGGGCCCATTGGCAATGCGATTGTAGGACAAGGCTTATACTTGGAGCACGATCACAACGACCCGACCTCTCTCCCAGCTGACGTGCGCAAAAGATGTGTTGCCGAAAGAAGAAGCTACGGGTCCTGGAATCCGGTCGAGGAGGGTAAAGTGCGAGGCTTGACCTTCGGCTTACCGATCGAATACCACATCGAGGAGCTCGACCCACGCATACGGCAAGGATGGCTACGAGCAGCCCAGAAGATCCAAAAGTTAGGAGGACGCATAGTCCCCGTCTCGCTACCTTTCACGAAAAACGCTCTCTCCGCCTACTACGTCATCGCGCCCGCCGAGGCAGCATCCAACCTATCCAAATACGACGGCATTCGCTACGGCCAGCGAAACAGCGAGCACGCCAGCGATTCCTACGACGGGATACTATACGCGAAGACGAGGGAAACCGGGTTTGGCAGCGAGGTGAAACGTCGCATTCTGCTGGGCTCCTACACGCTCAGCTCCGAAGCTATGGACAACTACTTCATACAGGCCCAGAAGGTGCGCCGCCTGGTCAAGAGGGACTTCGACCGCGTCTTCAAGCTGTCGAATCCGCTGGAGGACCAGCAGGCTTTCGATCTCAGCGAGATGGACGATTCGGTGCAGCTGGAAAACAAGCTCGGGCCGGCACAGGTTGATTTCCTCCTCTGTCCTACGGCGCCGACGACCCCCCCGTTGCTTGAAGATGTCATGAGGCAGACGCCTCTCGATTCCTACATGAATGACGTGTTCACGGTGCCAGCTAGTCTCGCGGGACTCCCTGCTATCAGCATCCCCATGGACATTCCCGTCGATCCGGCCAAGGAGGAGGAAAAGCTGCTGAGCTTCGGAGGCTTGCAGGTTATCGGGCAGTATTGGGACGATGCGCGGCTGCTGTCCGTAGCTGATGTATTGTCGCCCCATGTCTTGGAGCAGAAGCTCTTTTAGCGCTTTCTACCTATGCAGGCCGGTTTGCGTTTAGCTACAAGCTTGTACGCTACAAGTAGATAGGAGTCAGGATCTGTCATGATATAATACCCAATAGACTTGTAAATGAAACAGGATATCATTGAACTCTTACCAGGTGCACTAGTACCCAACAACTAACTCAGCTTCGCCTCCTACTTTGTCGTGAAAGTTTTTTTATTAGTTTCTTGCGGCACAATAGTTTGATCGAGCACGCAAGCCCGTGTAGTCGTACTATCACCTCTCATCGCCACTCGACCGCTCACTTCGATCCACGTCCATATACTCGCGTGATCGGCTGCGGTCTCTCGAGTAAGAGCGATCCCTCCGACTCTCCCCCGAGCTTGACCTCGACCTCCCGCGCCCGCTATCCGACCGCTCCTCCTCCTTGATCAACCCCTCCTCGTCGCTATCCGCCGCCGCGCCTCCATTCGCGCCGTCGCCATTCATCGCCACGTCCTCGTCGTCCTCCTCGAGCAAATCCTCGATGTCGCCCAGCGGGCTCGTCCGCGGCTCCAGCAGCTCCAGGTCCTCGAGGATCTCGCGCTTCGGCATCTGCCACAGGCTGGTGGCGCACACGCGGTCCTTGGTCAGCAAGTCGTCCACGAACTGGTCGACGAACGTCAGGCTGGTGCCGGCGCGGCCCTTCCGCCGCAGCTTCCGGCGGTCCTCCAGGAACGGCTCGAGGACGCGGTGCACGGCCTCGGCCTTGCGCGTGAGGCGCACGTAGAAGCAGGCCAGCGCGCGCAGGTACTTGAAGCGGTCGCCGCCGAAGCGCAGGTACTCGTGCAGGACCGCGTCGTCGGGCGCCAGCTGCAGCAGCTTGAAGGCCAGGCACAGGAAGGGCGTGGGCTTCTGGGCGTCGCCGTAGGTGCCGCCGACGAAGGCCACGTGGTCCACCACGCGGTCCACCACGTCGGCCTCGTTCACCCCGAAGCACTGCTCCTTCCAGAAGTAGCTGTCCACGATGCGCTCCCGCACCGCCTTCTCCATGATGGTCGCCGGGTTCAGCCCGTTCGGCGCCAGCGACGCCGACGACCCCCGCTCGTCCAGGAACCGCCGCTCGTCCGCGCGGTGCGTGTCTTTGGACATTTTGGGCGTGTCGGGAGGGTTCTGCTGGTTGGGATAGGGGTTGAGTAGGTTTCGGTTGTAGGTGGTTCGTGAGGGTGTTGTCTTGCGCAGATGGTGCGGTTTGTAGGCGGGAAGGAAGCTAAGAGGTAGCTCTTAAACTTTCGATTGAGCTTCTTATCGATAAGACGGATGGGCCGATAAGATATTTTACCTAACAGTTCAGAAAAATTTCCATAAAAAAGATTGGAAGAGACGAGAAAACGTCTCCTACAAAAGATAAAATAAAAATACCTACGTATCAGCAATATGCTACAAAAAACAAACTATCACTCCGAATCGGGGAATCGAACCCCGGGCTTGACGGTTCTACAATGAGAGCGTCAAATGTTAGCCACTACACCAATTCGGACAGACCCATGAAAGGAATGGGGTGTGATGCAATGAAATGCCTGATTTTATCAGACAATATATCCTACTAGAAGTCATGTGATGGGAGGCTATCAGATAAGGGATTTGGCCCTGGAGAATCCACGTGATGCCTTGCCCTTCTCGTGAGTCGTTTGCCGTACGATTCATCTTCAATACGCATCACTTTCTTTAATTGATACAAACATAAATTTACAGTCAAGATTGAATGAGAACAGGTACAGACAAAGGGACTGGTCAACTTTGTGTCTGCACCCTATTATTTAGAGGAAGAGGAATTTCTTTATGCATTGTCGACCTCATCGGTGCTTTGAATTTCCTGTGAGAGCAGGGTTCTAACTTGGAACTGTAGATCTAGTCCTCCAAGTTTCTCAACTCTTCTCGCAACAAAGTCTCCCGCATATTCGAAGAGATCAAATCACTCAATTTGGCCATGAACGCGGTCAGGATATCCACGGTAGAACCTTGCATGGTTCCGCTATCGCAAAGTCCCTTGCTCCGTAAATATATGCACTTCCTCTTCAAGAGTAACACAACATCTACGCGGAAACCTCATGCATTCCCGTAGCCTGACTATATCATTAGTGTCCTGCACATTCAACTGTTATGGGCGATGTTCACTAACTTCATTAGTTCGAGGAACTCGTTAGTCGGTTTCAATGCATCCCAAAATGATCTCAACCTTATCCCTTTACCTGGCACTTGGGCTTTTCATGGTTCACAAGTCAACCCATCGCCATGGTACGAGAACTCATCTCTAGATATCATGCATTGCTCTCTTGAGCATGTCGCCTTCTACGTAATAAATGGCTAGGGATCGACAGGGACCATGATGAAATGCCTCAGGGGTTGTAGAATTCAAGCTTCATCTCATCATCTCAAATTCCGGGTAGAAGTACCCAATTTTGAGTAAAATGCGCCTCGGACTTTGAAAAGCCAAGATTCGCGAGTCTTCAAACTTATTGTCTTCATTATTTATCCCGCCAATATCTTCATTCACAAGAACTTCTCGATTAAAAGAGTTATACTACACGGTCTAGAGCAACTACTTCGCGACATCTAGTAGGTTGTCTAGTGGTCTCTGGCCTAAAACGAGATAATTCACTCTTCGTGTAAGTAGTTTCATAACTCAATCACGAACCACAAAACTACAATCCGTCGGAATGGTAACCTTACGCTACGCAGTACCGGAATCAACATCCGCTAGACCGTAGCCATCCTATCGGATATAGTAGACTTACCAAGAATGTCGAGACCTTGTTCTACTATTTGAAGATCACGCGTAACGGACCGCCCCTTGCATTACGTACAATGATGTTATGTAACGTTGCTCACTTCAAAATGAAGACTCTTAACAATTTCACCAACATTAATTGTGAGCAGTCAGAATTACTTAATGGGGATGTGACAGGAAACTTGGGCTGTCCGGATGGCCTCCGCGCTACACTTCATGGTCATACTTAGGTAACCAGCATGGACCTTGTTATTGAGAGCCGAGTGAAAATGCCTAGCCAAACTTGCATGGGCAAACAAGAGTCTAAATGTCACTACTACGGCGCGGTGCCGCATCCACACTATTCCAACGCCCCGAGGCCGGTACCTATTCATCTCTCGAGGATTGCCTGCATGATCTTGCATGTGTACACCTAGGGACTAAATTCGGTTCCGTACGGGTGTCACATCGGGGCATGATTCCGGCGACGGCTACTGACCCGGGAACTTGGCCCTTGGTACGGTGTTGGTAAAACTCTAAGGGGTCTTTGGTGTCTTCTTCAGCATCTAACATGGTTTTCCCATGCAATGAATCCACACTGACGAAAAATATACAGGTCATTTTTTCCTCACCATGCTCGCTTAGGATGTCTTGCAGAAATACTATCGCAAGCGACAAGACAAATCAAGAAGCCCAACGAAACAATACTATTATAGCAATCGCTTGGTCTGATATTTCAAGAAGGAAATTGACTTCAGCTCGAATCAGTATACCGAGAAAAACTCAAATTTCTAAAAACTCAGGAACTGGCCGATATCGTGGAGCTCAAGTAATATATATATAACATCTCGGGGCGCCGTCCGGGTACTTGGCTTCGCCAGCTCCAATAAATTGAAAAAATCAAAGTTATCATATTTTTATTTAACTTATTTGATTATGTCCCTTTCTTGAAATTCACAACCAAGGAAGACATTTCGTATCATGACGGGCACCATTTTGGTCGAGTCGCCTGAAGGGCTCGCGGCAGAGACCCTCGCTGCAAGCGTGCTGCTGTGTCTTGCCGCTATTATCGCCGTTGGCCTACGAGTTTGGGCTAGAATAAGCATCTCGGCATTTGGCGGCGACGATTACCTCGTACTTATAGCACTGGTAAGTCTCCCACCGATCTCTTCTATTTAGTAGATATCTGACTCACTTATCTTTCACCACAGGCCTTCTTTATCCCCTGTTGTATCTTTGTCAATATAGGCTGCCTCTCCGGCTTAGGCATGACAGACGATGCCATCGAGGAACTAGATCCATCGGGTGTGATGGCTATGAATGGATTCAAATGTACGCCTTTTCACCTAGTTTCGAACCGCATTATACCACGACTTTGCAGGCGATAACTCGCTGACATTTTCTCCCTCTAGGGTTCGTCTTCTTTTGGCTCACCTACTTGCTCTGCCTTCCGTTCATCAAGATCAGCATCTGCGTCGCCCTCCTGAGGATTACCCAGGCGAAGCGCTACGTGTTTCCCTTACGGTTTGTCATGCTTCTCAGCGTTGCGTCGTCGGTCATAGGGATCTCGGGCTTGCTGAACCAATGCCAGCCTCTATCAGGTACCTGGGACAAGTCCCAGGGGGTCTGCAAGAGTGAGGATCGGGTCGGAAGGTTGACGCTGGTCACCTCGGGTATCTCCATACTTTCGGACTGCATGTGTGCTGTCATCCCGACTTTCATCCTTTGGAACTTGAATATGAGGGCAAGGACCAAGGTCTCGCTTGCCTTGATCCTTGCCCTCGGTGGCTTGTGCGCTACGCCCCATGCCCCTTTTTGTCTGACAAAATACCGGACTAACAAGCACTGTACAGGGCGAGCATTTCTACTTGTATTCGATTACCTCGTTTAATCGCATTCTATTCCGATGAAGAAAAAGACAAGCTCCGTAAGTGATTCCGTATGGTACGATTTCTATTTCTACATGAATTATTAATTGACATATTGTGTTCCATCTACACAGACAAAGCCGCCCATATAGTCGTTTGGTCCGTCGTAGAGTGCGGCATCGGCATCATCGCGGGTTCTCTGCCCCCTCTTCGGCCGCTATGTCGCAGATTTGGCATCGGGTTCGGCACGACGCGAAGGTTGAAATTATCGGACGAGGCACAGAACCCAGCGAAACGCGATGCGAGTGATGCCGGGCCATACGGACACACCGCCACCATAAACGACAAGCCTATCAGGCTCGGGACCTTGAAACGGGCGGACCGCGGAAAGTCACTAACGACTACTTGCCAAGGGGGCGGCCAGCATTCGACATGGGACCATCGAACAATAGACGACGTCGACATTGCGACTCAGAAGCTTATAATCGTAAAGAATACGCAGATCGACGTCGAGTACGAGGCAGCAGATCCGGCGCAATGGCCTAGGGATGAGGTCGTACAGAAACCGTTGAAAGTACGATCATATACCACTTAGGTGCTATGCCGGGGTGCGAGGAGTGAAATTGTTGGATACCTTGGAACCTACTTAAAACTGAGACATTGTTCGAAAAGCCCTGGATGCGAACACTGTTGGATTTGAGCACGAATACAAGTTTAGTGAGCATACGTGTTCTTGGAGTTTCCATTTGTATAATGTGCCGAGATGAATATACCCCAGATGCCAAGGTTTCGGAAATTTCAGAACATTACTGCCCACGTAATGCGTCTGTTCTGACAATTTTGGTCGTTTTCAAAGGGCGTCTACATGGGGGGGGGGGGGGGGGGGGGGGGGGGGGGGGGGGGGGGGGGCGGGGGGGGGGGGGGGGGGGGGGGGGGGGGGGGGGGGGGGCGGGGGGGGGGGGGCCG